GTCTGGATTAACTCAAAGGTAAGCTTAGAATTGACCAATGGTAGTTAAATATTGTCAGTTAAATGTGAATAATTGATGTTCAGTAATTTGATTGAAGAGTTCGCTGTATTTTGTTCACATCCAAGCTGGCCGGTGCATTAAGTTCAAACTTGAAATGTTATTAAAGGCTCTCTCTAAAGTCATTTGGTGAACATTATTAACTTACAAAAGGCGAATATAATTAGTATTGACTGATGACAATTACTCTTTTATTTGTCAAAAACGAACGGACATGGCATAAATTATTGCATCTAGAAACAAACCAAAACAATGAAACGGTTATTCCTGAAACGAGTTACGGAAGTCGAGTACCGTCTGTATAAAAATTGACCTTTTTTAATGGGTGAATATATCAGGTGTAAACACAGAATACATTTACATTCATATATGCTTATGCTTTTTAAGTATCGTTTTGGTGTAGCCCGTCAGATGCGTATCATTTTTATTAACGGCTGAGAAGAGAACTTTCACTTGAAATTCCTGGCAGTTTCGTCTATGGTCCAGTGTGTAGTAACCTAAATGGCTTCTTACTTTATTCTTTACCTTATCATGTAAAAAACAAAGTGCCTTCCTAAAACTTTTCAAATCTTTCAAAATCTCCATGTGAATTGCGAAGAATCGGAGACAACAGACCTCAGTAATGTGACACCGCACTTCATGAATATGCAGCTTTCCTATGGTGGTCGGTGGATTGCGGACCTCCCCTGGTTCCAAAGGGAAAGTGCACATTTAAACATGTTTCTCATGCAGATTATGCAAATTTGAACAGGTTACTGTGCATATTTGCATTATACATGAGAGATCCTTTCATAATGCTGATCAACTGGGAAAGAAGTGTCAAGACAGCAACCAATGAAAACTTGTCTCTTGACAACAAGTTGAAAGACAAGATGATGGGACTGTCCTCCTTTATAGTAGGCATGGAAATGAAGAGTACACGCACGATATTTAAGGTGGCTTCAACTTTGCACTTGTGTATAAAAGTTCACGTATGGTTTCATGAATAAAGTAACTTGATCCAGTAATTTCATACATCACTGCCAAGATTTAAATGCTTAAAATGTAGTTTTCAAAGTGAAAATTACCTTTCAACAGCTTTTTGAATAAGAACAAGGAAATGAGGGGAAAAAGGGGATTCACAAATTCATTTCTGAACGAGAAATGTTGTGGTTTAATTTTTTTGTCATGAAATATAAACTCGTTTAGAATGCAGGTACATTTGGTCACAGTAATCCTAACCCTCCCAGATGGAGGAAGGTCCATCTGGTGATTAGGTCTGATGCACTGGGCAATCAACAGAAGCCGAACTAGCTGGCCATGTTCAGTCAATGGGAGTTAGTCCCGTTGAACCATGCCACTGTTTGATCTTCTGGAGACTGGCAACCACATACTCCCAGGCCTTGGGGAGATCTGTTAGACCCTCTTACACTGGGCAGGCAAATATGATGCCATTTGATGCGTCTGGCTTGGTTTCTAGCCAAAGCAGGCTGGAGGGATAAATTAAAACAACTGTAAACCTAAAACAAACTTTAAAAAAATGAAAATATTGCTGATTTTTTTCTATTTTGAAGACCAAGAGGACTCCTGCTATAACTTCAGACAAAGATGCATAAGAATAACTAATGAAACTAAAAGCTTTTTGCGTTACATTTTCAAAGTACCTGTATTCATGAACTGTTGTAAACCAACAATCAGGTGATGTCCTTGAACTTAATTACAGTAAGTGTGAAAGCATGATTTTGTGCAAGAAGAGCTACTTCATGTAAGTGTACCCCAAGAAGATGTTTTCTCCAATTCCTTGTAATTGTTTTGTTTTGCCAAGCCATTGGGAATTTTTCCAGTACTGTCTTGTGATTTTTTTTTGACACAAGCTGATTTACTTACAATGAATTTCTTGACATGAATGCAAAGTTTCAAAAAGGGCTTGGGAATGATGGGATAGATACCAAGGTCTTTTTGGGGGGAGGGAGGTTGAATCCCTCCTCCCCAGGATGGCTTTTATACGTTCAAAATTGATAACACCGTACCATACAGTATTCCGCCCACGTGTGAACATCCAACGCAGCATGACATGGCATTTCCATTTCAGTCTTTGCTCAGGTTTTTGTGTCCGAAGAGGCCATTGCAGGTAACTTAAAAAGTGCTTAACGTCACGTTCCTGTAATGAGGCCTACTGGGTCACACTTCAACACTGAGAAATTAAGTGAACGCACAAGGTGTTACAGCAACAATTTCATTAAAAAGAAAAATTCGACACCGGAAAGAGATTAGACAATGGAAAATAACTGCTGTACAAAAAAAAGTAAGACCCCACCCTAGACTGAATTTTTCTTTTGGGGGGGGGACATTAAAGCTCATCTTTGCCTTCTTCTTCGTCCATGTCAAAGTCGCTCAAGTCAATGTCTTCCTCTTCAGGCATCTGAAATGAAACAAGGAAATACTTCAGACTTTCGGCAATGATCCACCAAGACCTATCGGAGCGACATACCTCTGAGCCTAAAGTGACGTTGGAAACCAGTTCCAATTTATGGAACCGGTGACCACCTACATAAACTACCCAGTAACTTGTTTAAGATGACAGAAAATGGGTTTAAAGGATTTTGTGGGAGAATTTAGATTACAAACCCCGGCTGTATGGAAAGCAAAGCCAGATCTCATGTTCATTTCAAAAAGTTGTTGAGGAATGTTTTGGGTACTTGTGAGATTTAAATGCATTTTGTTTGAGGCTTGTTTCTTCCATTTTGTTTGAATTTTGAAGTTTGCAGTGATCGGGTATCTGGTTCCTACACTACCTATAAATGCACAGCACTTATTGGCAGCCAGCCAGAGACTAACACCTTGGTCTGGTCACACCATTTGGACCTGGCCTAAGTTCCCGTCCACTTACCACTCCATCTTTGCCATCCCAGGGATCTGTTTTCTTTATTTCTCCTAATTTTTTGCCCGGCACCACTTCTGTGCTGAGGCCTCTGCCCATTGATGCCGCTCTGTGGAAATACAAATGAACACAGCTCATCAGTCGGCATTGTTCTTTCCTCAGCGTGGTGGTTTCAGTTGTACAGAGATCTTGGGAGGGGGAGGGGGCGGGGTTGGGTCAACTTGGGAGGGTGACGCTGTTATACCAGAAACTGTCTGCCATATTGAGCAAAGCCTCTCCAGTTCCAGCCTGCAATTGCGGTCACTGATGTTCCACATGACTTTCTTGTCAAGCTGGGAATTTCCACTAAATGTGGTCAACATAATGCGGCTGAAGTTTTGGCAAACTGGGCATGGGCCATTAGTGGGAACGATGCATAAAGATCTTTTATTTTTTCAGCTGGTTCGTCCGCGTTCATCTTTACTGAAATTTACACAGTTAGTGTCAGAATGTATGCAGGTCATTGGTCTTGGACTTCACAAAGGCTCCTCAGCATGAAAGGCAGCGGAGGAACATGTTGGTGTTATTGGAGAAAATGTGCAGGGGTTTAATCTCCTATCTATTTGGGGTCTTATTTAGTCTGCGTTTGGCAGATGTACCTCTGTTTTTCAGTTCAGGACCTGTTTTGGCATGGTCGGTGGTCGAAGCATTTGGCATAAAAAGAATTTGGCTGTTTTTTCCTGAAAGGAATCCCTCACTGTCCACAAAGTGGGTTCAAATACAAAATGACCAAATAATTCACCCACTGACTGACTGACTGACTGATTGAACCAAATAACACTCGCAGCCCCACGCACCTGAGGTATTCATGTATGCCCTCTTTGCTGAATGGTCCCTTGAGCTTTGTGTAGGTCATCTTGCGACCGTTCAGCACTGCCATGGCTGGGTAACCAAATCCGCCGATTCCTAGTGAGTTCTCCAATTCTGGCTGTGCACCGGCCTCCGCCCACACCCATCTTCAATGAGATGGAAAAGAAATCAAATCAAATGTACAGTCAATCTTCACTTGTCATGAACACCCAACTCGTCACATATTTATTGCCAGAAGTTCAAACAACTTCCACAATTTGTATTTCCAATATCAGCTCATCATAAAGTTACATTCCTCAGTGCAGTAACGAGAAGAGATACTAACCTAAGTCTTCAATACTTAGCGTTTTATGTTTCTTGTGACTGTTTCTTGCTTTAAAAAAATTGAATTTGCCAGGCAACATTTCCTGCAAAGTTACATTTTACAGTTGTGCCCCTAAGCAGGATACTTTACCTTACATTTGAGGGAACATTGAAAAAGATGGTGGTCATCTGTGTACAATTATGAGCATTCAGCCTAAGTTATTCATGTTAATGCCTCATGACCCTGACAAGCTCCAGTTGAGCTGTTAAGATGTCTCAACTTGTAAGCAGGTGGTTACATAGGGTTCAGTCCCATCCAAGAATACGGTGAATTATCTTTCCAACAAGCATTCCACGAATCAAGTCTTTAGATCTGGACCTCCCACACACATATTCAATCACGCTTCATTTCAATTCAAGATGCCAAGCACAAGAATAGTGCAGGGTATTGTTAGAAACATCAATCTGGTCAGTTTTCAGTCGCTGTCGGAATAATTCGAGCAATATTCAAGGTTTAAATTCTGCACTGGACCACTCCACCCCGTCCACTGATTTGATGTCAGTCTTATGCAGCCTGTATCGATACAAATCTGGTGGTCCAGTTTTTCTTGGTTAGCGTCATTCCGCTGAGTACATGCAACTCTGGCAGTCCACCATTCAACAGGTGAATAGTCCCAGACAAATCCTTTCAGCAATACCCATGGTTGGTATTATCAGTTCATCTTGTGTAAGTGTTCATTAAAACAAACATTATTCTTACATTCATGCCATGTTGACAGAAACGAGACCGGTATACAAGTAGGAAGTACTGGTTTCTGGCCGGTAAGGGCCAGTGACCATTTAGACAGGGTTTGAAAAGGGCCCCCGGTAGCCCGCCCTGTTTAATGCCTGCCCGGTATTTAGGCTACTCCAGGCCGGTATCAGGCCTGTCTGCACATTGGCATTTCAAAGTCCCTGATGAAAGGCTTCCCTCACCATGCTTCCAGAGATGAATAGGGGTCTAAGCGGATTAGTGTAAACATTGTATAGAGCTGAAGGATTAAAAACCACAAGCAGGTTCCTTCTGGGATAGATTACATGTACCAGTACTTGCAAACAATAGACCCCAGGATGGAAAAGTTCGAGATCAACAACCAGTCCAGCATCCCAGGCCAGTAGCCAGGCCGGTATGAAAGGGGTTTTTGCAACAGGGCCAGCTTACCAGGGGGCCCTTTTCAAACCGGGTCTAAATGGTCGCCGGCCCTAAATTTTATGACCTGCTGCAGCAATCTAATGACATTTGAAAACAGATCCAAACTCGGAGTATTTTCTTGCTCTGCGGTTTCAAGGAATCCTGGAGACCTACCCCCACTGCTTGTGCCGTTCTGTGTTGTCCTTGAGGTGCTGAAGGTATTGGTTGCGTCCGACGGCGCCGGAATCCAGGATGTGGGGAAGGAAGGAGATCACGCAGAGTTGATGAGCCTCGCACGCATCTTTTAAGACTTTTTCATCTGTGATCTACAGATAAAGGGAAGAACAAAAGTCACTGACCATTCTCTCCTGTGTAAAATGCTGTTTTGTAAGGGCTTCTCCGTAAGAGGAAAATTCTGGGATTTTCTTACAAAAGAAATAGATATACGTCATACTAAACAATATAAGCTCGTTGGGTTTTTTTGCTCTGTAACTAAGCTGAAAAATTCAGTTTTGCAAATGGTCAACTTTATCTTTCTTCATGGTGCAAAATTATCTCCTGGAGAATACTTGTATATGGAGGAAGGAACTTTGGAGAGTACAAAGGAAAAGCCTTATGGCACAGAAGAGAACCAACGAATGAGCCCAAGCCATACCGGTGAGAGGCGAGTGCTTCACAAACTTGCCATCTGCGAATATTTTAATGATCAGCATAGCCCCTGCCCCAACTGGATTATAATGTAGCTCATGCCTTTACCTCAAGTACTTCAGGTGGGGGCATAGCGTCAGCGACTTTGGCGTTGGCCCAGTTGACGATATCGGAGGCAGACCGACCACCATTGTAATCCTCTGGGCTATCAAACTCCTTTTTGCCAGCAGGGAAATACTTGATGGTCGGGTAACCTCTGACCTGAGGGATACGAAAAATGCAATACGGCAATTAGTTTCTGCTCATTTGATGCAGAGAGTACATGAGCAACTTTCGCTTGAATGTGTACAACATCACAGAATCTTTAAATGGATGCTATAGTCCCAATAACTGAAACACAGGGTTCATCACCAAGTTAAATTGGGTCTGAAGATTCTTGCCACACCCACTTCTCTCTATACCAACAAAATCCGTTACAGCAGCTTAGCTGTTACTTGTGACGTCACTGTCCTCCGTGTCACTGCTCTAGGTACAATGGATCTGCGAAGATATTTTGGACTGAATGCAGTGGTTTGGACGAGTAACCACTACACATTCCAATGTACAAAGTGAGAACCTGTGTACAGCTTCACTTGGGGCAAGCCAAATACGGTCATGCTCAAACAACCCTAGCTGAACTATTTGTAAATCATCAATGCAACTCATATTTCTCATAATGATGCTCTCTCAGAAATGCTTTCAATGACCAAATTGTGGTTTCACAATTTCAACAGAAAAACCTATAAACTGAACAGTGTCTTCCCTGATTGGCATCACAGCAACAGCGCCCTCAGTTATCTAGAAAAGCAATACATTGAACGCCAAAGGGATGGCAAATAGTTTTCACACAAAGAAAGGAAAATGAAATAGCACAAATAGTCTCTGTGATGAAACTTCATCACTGGGACCCCTTTAAGTGTCACCAAAAAGATCAGCACTCTTTGGTTAAGCCACATTGAAGCCCGACTGGTTGTTCAAAGAGCAACACATACCCCATATGCGCTAGCTTTGACGGTTTCCACGGTGGCGTCTAGCGCCCCAAGTTTGAATTTCCCCTTGAGCTCGGTGGCGGCCTTGGCCCACTCGGGCGCCAGGTTCTTACAATGACCACACCAAGGGGCGTAAAACTCCACCAGCCAGGGGTCGGTGCTCCCCAACACTTCCTCATCAAAGTTGCTGTCGGTCAGGGTGATGACGTCCTTATCGCTCGGCTGAAGAAAAAAGTCAAAAAGAGAAGGAGAAATGAAAATCGGGGTTGAAATTAGCAAATGCCCAGAAAGACCGATACTTCTTTCTTTCCCCAGCAGATTACTAATAACAGCCCTATGGGTAATTCCAGAAATTAGGAGTCCCTTTTTTTTCATGTCCCTGTCACATCTGACATATGGTTTTGTAAGCTCAGAACACATTTTCTAATTTCCAAAAGTGATGAATTAATGCAAATTACCTGCCAAACAAACAGTGATAGTTTGAAATCAATTCCAGTGATATTTCCATGTCAAATAACAAGGGTCAGATGTAACAGGGTCACAAAAGTGTCACATTTTTGGACCCCTAATTTCTGGAATTACCCCTTTATATCCTTCACCTGTTGAAGGAGTAGAGACATCAGGGTTAATGACAATTCGACTACTCATATTTGAGTACCCGGAACACATCTCTCTTCTCTTCACACCATAGTATCCCTACCCAGTGCTCACTGGACCCCCCCCAAAAAATCTTCCCAATCATCTCAACTTTCTGGTGAGTATACAGTCCTCAGAGCAGCCATTTCAGATGCTACCCGGTGAGTCAACCACAAATGACCCTCTCTGCCCTTGGTTATAACCATTTGTACTCCTGGGTGGATAGAAGCAAGTAAGGGTGAAGGGACTTGCCCAAGGTCGCAACATGATCCCCATGTGCACCACCACATGTAGGATTCGAACCCCAATCCTGTGATTGGGGAGTTACCAACCAAACCCTGAACACTAGGTCCCAAGCCCCCTAAGATTTACCCTTACTTCTTGATACTTCTTTGAACTGTAGATAGAGGTATTTTCTTGTAAGGGTAAAACCCGTATTTAAAATTAACCACATGCTGCTGGGTGCTTTGAAAGGGAAGTGCACACGTAGGGGCGATTTTCAAGATTTTCTGTTTTCAAAATTCTTCAAAAATTCATCATTTCATTTAATGGACGTTTACATCCATGTGAATGACTGTTTGGTGGCTGCTCTAAGCTGATAGGTGACCTTCATTGACTCCTGAATATTTCAGCCAGGCCTGCCGCCTTGTAAAGAGAGCCCAGAATTGTGAGGTGTTGCGTAATTTCCTTTGTCCACTGTGAATGCGAGTGGCGTCTTTTCAAACACGGCCAGATTAACATGCAGCGGCACTGTGTCGCTTATCAATGGGGCCCTGGAGCACTTTTGTAAATGATAGCCACAGGTGACTACTAGTTAATGGGGTCGCATCTCACCTTCTCACCACCACCAGACCCCCTGCTCCCTGAGCCACCACTTCCCCCGGACTTCTTGCCGCCAAGTCGACTGCTGGCAACATCCTTGGCTACTCGTATCGCCTCTGTTACGATCGCATCCGCTGTTCTACCACCTAAGAATGGCAGAATTCCGTTTTGAGTAAATCCGGGCATACTTCATACAAACTGGCAATACAAGACCACATTTTCTGTAGGCACCACACTAAATGCAACGAAATGCCATGGGGCTGGAGTGAGGGCCATGCTGAATGCTACAACAAATGCAACAAAAACAAAATCAACCTAATTATACTACAACTTTGTTGTAATATTTTGCCACCTTCACAATACAGTTATTTTCAATCCAACCCACATATGACTTCGAAATGTCTAACCTCAGCACAACTTAAAGTATATTTCCAGGCAATAAGGAGTTAGCGTTGTGGGAATTTTAAAAGCTCAACCGAGACAACTCACCTTGGTAATCAGTGGGCTTTTGCTTATTGGCACCAAATATTTTGATGGTGGGGAATCCCCGCACTCCATACTGACCGCCTAAGCTCTTGTGATTATCTGCGTCCACTGCACCAATCTTCACAATACCCTAAAGAAAAGTTAAAAAATAACACGAAGTCAGTGCGTCAATCACCGACTGTGACTTTTGACACCAGGGTTCCTCTGAATCGAATCCCCCAAACATTTTGGAAGTTGAAACCCATCACCCCAAAACTGGTGCAAATATGTAGTTTGGCAACAGATGTAGACTGAAAAGATGAGATTTAAAGTTTCAGCCCAGTTGGTCGGATTATGTGATGTTTACACACCGCCCTGCCATATTTTCAAACACAACTTTAGCAAAAATGGGCATGGCAGCCAAATCTCTCGACGTCCTAAGGTCACAGTTGTCAATCCTGGTACTATTGTATTCAGAAAAGTTACTTCTTCACACCAGGGTAATTGGAAGTATGACAAACCTTCTGATTTTTTATCTCCTTGGAGATCGCAAGGCCTTGAGGCGAGCTTGGATGATACAAAATGATCCCTCTACCAATTAAACCGTGCATTAAACTCCGACACAATGTTTTGTGGGAGCCCTTCCAAACTCCCTCGAGAGGACAGGACAAGACATTACTTCCCATTTCTCACCTTTAGTGCTGAGGCCGCCTTATCCCATTCTGGTGCCAGGTTTTTGCAATGACCACACCTGACAAAAAGAAAGGGAAAACAAGCAGGAAAAGAGTAAAGATTAGATTGTGTAAGGGAATGTCAAAGGAAAATCCAGCTTATCATTTTGTACCTTTACAGGAAAGGAAGAAGCAACAATTTTAAAGACTGTTTTATGTTCAAGATGGCATCCTTTCAAAGACAGCAAAGAGATAATTCTGAACACTTTTCTTTTATAAAAAAACAAATTGGCCTATTGACCGGGTGACACTTTATTTTAATAACCTGGGGGCATGTGGCCAAGACTGTGGTTAGGGTCTGTGGCTTCCAATCATAGAGTTGGAGGTTCAAATCCAGCTGCTGGCAGTATGTTGTGACCCTTGGCAAGCCACTTCACATCTGCTTGCCTCTCTCCACCCAGGAGTAAAAATGGGTACCAGCGTCAGCCGGGGAAGCAACCTGCGATGGACTGACTTCCCATCCAGGAGGAATAGAAATATTCTTAGTTGTTTTCATGCCAAGGAAACGGGAAATAAACACTGGCCTGATGAGCCAGATTGGCTCGGACCAGACTAGCTTATCTTGATAATCTGCCCTAAATGTTTATGGTCTGGGTCTGGCAGGTGTCATTTGAATTCAGAATTATACTAACGCACAGCACAACCTCTTTTCAAGAAGTTGGTGTCAGCTCAGATAATGTTCTACGTACTGAATTCTATGCATATGCGTACATGTGGTATTCAATCAGATACCGTACACAGTATAAAACACATGAAATTTGTCACATTTAAACCTCCTCAAGGTTATGGATACAGGAAGTTCCTAAGCTAACATTTATTTCAACAAGACGCACATGTCCAATTGGACTCACCAAGGAGCATAAAATTCGACCAGCCACACTGCATCGCTCTTGATGACTTTGTCATTGAAGTTGTTGGGGTTCAGTTGAACGACATCCGAGGAGCTGCTGTAGAGGGCATCGGTCACAGCCGCCAAGAAAACCAAAGCGATCCCTAGGGAAATGGCTGAACAAAACAAGTTGCACGAAACTCAATCACACCGATCTCGACAGGTTACCATGGTTTCTCACAAAAGCTTTGATTGTGGAGGAGAGCAAAGTCACACTGTTAAAATCTCACATTTAAGAAGCGGACAATTTTTTTTTAAAAAAGGTTAAATTTTAAAAGATTAGAATGCAGCAGTGTGGATCAGTTAATCTGAGGGTTGAGGGTGGGGTGGCAAGTCTTCCCCTCCCCCCCCCAGGTTATACCAGTACGTGTACATCATTGCTTTTTTAGATACTGAACACAGTGAAAGTATACCAAATCACAACAGTAATGGAACATTCCTCTCTCCTTTCTGTTGGGGAAAGGTTACTTAGCCAAAAATTGGGATCATCTTGGGAAGACCTGGTAAACATGAATGGTTGACCTGCGAAACATACATATCAGGAAAATACCTGCATTGCATTTCCCCATAAATGTAACGTCAGAATTTTTCCACTGACATTTGCTCCTTACAATGTAAACTGTTGTCTCTTTAATGCCTGAGCCTGTGAACATTAAAAATCATTTCGTCGTCCTTCCTTTCATTTCGCAGTGCCAGGATCTTAAATACAAAAACTGATTTCTTAAAAAAAGCATGACACACATGATCAGTGACTTCCCTTCAGAATTTGATACATGTATCAACAGTCTTGAGTCAACAGTCTTTAGGAAAAAGCACAGCTTCATCCCAGCAACATTATAAAAGCCATAGAACTAGGAAATAGATATAGTAAGGAAAAACAACTGAGAGAGCCTGGTTTGACTGGCTTGCACTGGTTTTAACCTTATCGCTAATAATACCATATGGGTGATTTGACACAATGGTAAAAAGGCACAGTGAAAAGGAAAAAGGAGCAACCACTGCCCCTTTTGCCTTCCCACGCTGCTTTTCTAACATTGTGTAAAATCATTCGTGCGGTATTTTAGCAACTACAGGTATCTCCCAATCATAGTTGAGACAGTCCCAATGATAGTTTGGCTGGCCCAACTCTTGTTGGCCGATCTCTTTGAAAAATTTCTTAACCTTCTTCGAGTTTATACAGCTCACACCTGACATACTTAATCTAAAATATGGCACTTCATTACAAAAACTTGCTTAGCTGCAAGGACATGATGCTGATGTAGGCAAAATTACTTTGGCATATGCTTTGGTACTGCAAACACTACGCCAAGGTTGGGCCGGCCCAACTATCGTGACTATAGCACTACAGTTGGGACGGCCAGTAGGTGGTGATAGAGGTATTTTTGGTCAGTCTTTTGAATTTTGAGAACCGTTTCAACCTTACCCTATGTACAGGCATTAGTATGACGGTCCCGTCCAAAATCGAAAAAGAGGAATACTAACGCTCCACTCAGTAGATCTAAGTTGGGGCTGATGCTGTAGATGGGATGTAACATGACTAACAACGATGTCAAGCACAACCTTGACTTTTGAGCAAATTTGTCACCTGTTTGTTGTACTCCATCCTGAGTTCATTGTCCTGTGAATGGAGTTTATTTGAAGGCAAATCATCTCAGGATGGAGAACAATAAATTTGCGCAAGTTCCAAGATTGAGCTGAACAGCAATGAGGTATTAGGCCTATTTAACTTTTGGCCGGCATGGCTGGAGAGAAAAGGTGCAATGAATGACAAGCATGACAATGATCATGATGATGACAAGATCCGAAGGCAGATCAATCATGAACACCAATCAATGGGCACGATGACCACTCCCAGAACTGTGGCTGTGGGGTACAGTGAACGACGTCCGCCCCGTTCCCACGATGGCGCAAGGGGCATGAGGGAGCGGGGCGGACGTCAGACATGTCGGACCCCATGTTCTACTACTAGTACTACTTGTACTAGCCTCAACTTCTAGTTCTGGGGTACACCATGTACACGATGACAGCTCAATTTATACTGACCCCTAGGCCTAACAATCAAACTTTAAAAACGCCGAAGTCACAGTATCATCACTTACCTACACACCTTTCCATCCTTTATTAGCTACAAATTTACACTCTACTTTCGACAACCTGTCGCCAACTTTAAATGTCGACTTGTCCGCATGCACCACCACTCCACTCAGTGCTACTCTTGTTGTGTTGCCGGAAACATGCACGAAGATAACGTGGCTTATTTTTGTTTGAAGGCTGCACTACCGTGGCTGAAGCTGATTGGTCTTTAGCGGGCCGTGACCAAAAGTTATGGCTAAGGCTACTCTCACAACGTCTACCGATTGAAGGAAGCCATCGGTTAGCGGCTGCATGGAATTTCCGTAGATATGTATGCTTACGGAGCTGCTTAACCAGTCCGCAGAGGCGCAGCCAGTTGATTTGAACATGACATAGGCATACTTCCGCGTTGGTGACCTTTAACCTTTCGTTTGATGAAACCGTAGATCTCCAACCTGGCCTTCATCATGATCTCGACCTAACGAAATAAGGGAGTTAATGGTAATTAGGGAGCCTGACTAAGTAAACTTGCATGTGAATTGGTAGCAGAAACTAAGTGTGAGTCAGTGAAATCCTATATCCTGATGAGGTATGGTTGAGAATGTAATAAAAGGTATGTAATCATCACTTTCAAACATGTCAGATGAATATGCGTAGGCCTTCAGCTGTATGCTTTACTTTTGGCTGACTTGACGTCGTTTGTTTGAAGAGGTTGCGTAGCCCATTAAACGGACACGCGTGTAGGCCTGTACATAACACTAAAGGGTGCACCACTAAAAACAAATTCCCATAGACAGCAG